GATTGAAAAGAAGAACACACATGATGCGAAAGACAATACAAAATTTTCCTTTGTAGGAAAAAATCATCAATAACTACAATACTAATAATATAATATGAAAATATATTTTATAGTGCATCTAGTAATATTAATTTGATACTGAAATTCTTGATAGTTTTTTCTTTAAACTCGGTCAACTTTGATATAAACTTAATCAACTTTGGATCATTTCACTTGCAAAAAAAAATTGGATCATTTAATTTCGTACAAAATTTACAGGCCTTCTTTTGAGAGGCGAAGGGAGTATTACGTTTCCATTTCCAACACAGCTTGGAGAAGGGAACGACAAGTCAAAATGTTATGCACGATGGAGCAAGGATAAGCACTGCGAAATGGCCCTTGACCTAATACGTACAATTAGTCTCCGTGTATTCTCGGAGTGATAGCTCCATATCCGTACATAGGAACGGAAAATTTCAGTAAAAAAGCGTCACTTGTTGGCACATGGGTCGTATAGCCGACTGTGAGCAACGTCACAAGCATTACATTAATAATGCTACACCTACTACTGATTTAATCCAATCAAAAATTGCCCCCTTACCCCTTACGTTAATAACCTAGGATTCCCTACGTAAGTGTAGCATCTCTCTTTTGACAAGGGGTTTGGGTGGATTTGTGGGTGCGTGCGCGTGCCCGGGGTGACGTGGTGGGCAGTGACTGTGAATAACTATTTTGAAATCACTGCTCGTCCACGGTGGATCTAGTGATGGCCTTGCTTGTGGGTGCAGCAGGGAGGAAGGGTGTGGCGGGTCATGGGGCGGCCCGGAGCGCGAGGGATTTGGGCACCGATGCCCAAATCTGACGGTCGCATTGGCGGTCAGTTGTGCTCGTAGGGACGGTAGCCGGCCATTGTGGCGGTGGGCACTCGCCGAGCCCGGAATTGGGGTGGCAGCTCCGACGGGTGGTCTCGTGGCGCGTTGGCCTTTAGGCGGCTTGGCATTTGGTGGATCTAGGCCTCGACATCTAGCTCTTTTGATGTCATTGGTGTTTGCCGGAAGCATGGTGCTGGCAGGTTTCAGGCGAGCTATTGTGGCGGTAGTTGGTAGGGTGTGGCCAGTGGGTGTTG